CCAGTTAACTATTGTGATGAATAGATATTCAACACTGAATTACTGTAATTCTCACCCAAACCGAGGACACTTGCTGTGGATATCATAGACTCCCTTTTGGTGACCAAGTATATGATTTCCATTAGATATTTAAAAATCTTTAAAATGGCACATAGAAACTATTGTTACCTTTAGGAAGTTCTAGAGTTTCAAGGATCTCTTATGAGGAAACTTGATGATGCATAAAAATTGTATGTCTGAATTTAACTGTGTTTCATGCATTTAAGAATTGAAGAAGCTTTTATTACAACTTCTCGTTCCAAATATTTTTCTAAGAATATGAAGAACCAAGCTGTGTTTTCTGGGCAGAATTAAACAAACTCTCTCCCATTTTAAGAAAAGGTTGATGGGGCTCCTTATAAGCTGTCTTTTGGTAATTCTAACAATATGGCTTAACAATGGGACTGTTGCTTGTTTTTGGTGGACCTGAAGGAGCACAAAACAGGCTGGAGTACAAAGAATAAAATAAACTTTCCCAAAAACGTGAAGTATCAGCTCCATTGTGAGATGGTTGATCTTGTAAGATGTGAAGGAAGTTAGGAAAGCATTCTTTCTCCTTATTAGTTATACTGTATCTGAGAATTTAATGTTGGTCCTTGGAAAATCTCTCTCTCTTTCTCTCTCTCTCTCTCTCTCTGTGTGTGTGTGTGTGTGTGTGTTCCAATGGTTAGGTACTGAATAGATTGTATGGTGAACATGTATTAATAATTTCCATAGAGATCCACTTGGAATTCTTAGGGCAACTCTGGACGGCTCTGTGGTGTTAGAGCTTAGAGCTATTCTCTGCATTCTCACTGCCATCCACCTCAATATCCAAGCCCTCCAATGTCCTATGTACAGACACTAGGGGGAGGCATTTGTTGTGTGCCGTTATTGGATGGTGTATTCTGAAGGTCCCGGCACTGGAGAGCATGCTTCCGGTCTCAGCTCTGGCAGTCGCAATTCATCCTGCAAGTCCATAAGATAGATTATGTTACCGGTCCATGTTCAGGGCTTTGAAGACACTGCAGGGACAGCGTACAGGTCACCAGAGGCCGCAAAGTAAATGCCACAGTTGCTCCAAATCCAGATGTACGGATAGAAGTTGAGCTCTATTTTGTGGGACTTTCCTGTGTGTGACTTGCTCGTTGGGGAGGAAGGTATCCTTGGGTATAGCAAGGCAGTATTCTCAACTATCAGTGCAGATTATCAAAGACAGCTTTCGAGAGTCCAGACCGCAGAGTCATGTCACACATTCGAGTCCCAGGTGATCCGTGAAGGCAGATGGTCATGATGATGAGGATGATGATAACAGCAGTTAAGACTTTTAGGCTCTCCACATGCCAAGTGCTATTCATCCTATGTAGTAACTGCTATTATTAGTGCTATTTTGCAGATATAGAACCTGGGGCTCAGGCTGGGTGTGATGGCTCATGCCTATAATCCCAGCACTCTGGGAGGTTGAGGTGGGTGGATCACCTGAGATCAGGAGTTCAAGACCAGCCTGATTAACCAGGTGAAACCCCATCTCTACTACATTTATATATAAATATATATGTATACATATATAAATATAAATATATACATTTAAATATAAACATATATATGGAAAACAGCAATGCTAAACTCACACTCACATTTATATATGTAAATAAATAAATAAATAAATATATATACACATACACAATTTTTTTTGAGACAGAGTCTTGCTCTGTTGCCCAGGCTGGAGTACATTGGTTTAATATCGGCTCACTGCAACCTCCACCTTTTGGGTTCAAGTGGATTCTCCCGCCTCAGACTCCTGAGTAGCTGAGACTACAGGCACACAGCACCATGCCTGGCTGATTTTTGTATTTTTAGTAGAGACGGGGTTTCACCATGTTGGCCAGGCTGGTCTTGAACTCCCAGCCTCAGGTGATCTGCCTGCCTCGGCCTCCTAAAGTGCTGGCATTGCAGGCGTGAGCCACTGCGCCTGGCCTATTTATATGATTTTTTCATGATTAGTAGCTTCTCTCCTAGCAGACAGTAAGTTTCACAAAGGCAGGGAGCCTGTTTCTATTATTCCCCATTGCGTTCTCAGCAGAATCAATGCCTGAAGCATAGTAGTTATCGGTAAGTATTTTCTGAATGAAGAAAAGAATGAATAGATTAATCGTGGGTTACAGGAATAGTCTTAATAAGTAAAGATGTTCAGTGCCACTACACATACCTATGGGATTTCTCAGAAGACAGTTTGGGGTCACAAGTTCTCTGTGTAGATAATTATATACTTTGTCGAGTTAGAAATGATAAATGGGAGGAAGAAATCAGGGCAGAAAGGAATGTTTGTCGGGATGAAGGCTAGATACTTTGTATCAGATTACTTTTGGATATTCTCATGAATTATCAAGTAATGGGTTATTTTGGACAGCTTGTGGAAATCAGCTCATTTGTCTTTTAAACTCATTTCCTTATGAATTAATTTCCCATACAATTATTAAAATGAAAATTAATCTTTCTGATGGCGCATTGACCCTTCTTCCACTAATTGTTTTTACATTGACAGGTAGACAGTATTTGACCAGGCTTGGGCTTTGTAACAAAAGCCAAATGGAAGCGTTCTAACAATCTTTATCCACTGACACAAATATTTCCATTGGTCATTTCTGTCTGAAACCCAAGATTCTTATTCATTTTAGTTCAATGCTATTGGTAAGGATTAGATGACATTTACTTTTACAAATGAAAGCTAGAATTTCAGGCAAATCTGATCTAACATCCTCCAGCATTTATCTTTTGAAGTGACCCAAATTGGAGAGTAGCATGCATACCTCAGCACTCTGACACTCAGTGGGGGTTTTAGCTAGCAGTTAGGACCCTTCACTCAAAGGCATTGTATCTAGCAAGGGAAGAGGGTGAGCGGTGCTCCTACATATCAACAAACAATGACATCCTGAAGCCTAATGACCACAACCAAGGCAGCCTCAGCTCACCTGTAGTCAAGTGCAGCCTTAGGTAACACAGATAGAAAACAGCAGTACTAAAGAAAACAGAACCATTACTGAACTGCGAAAGGTGTCCAGCTCCTTTTCCTTCTCCCCGTTTGTAAACTCTTCATGGTTGAAGGCGTGGAGGCCTAATGACAGGAGATGGGCGTGTCACAGACAGAAGTGGCCCTTGGACCCGGGAGGTCACAGTGTGACAATGTGTGTGAAGGAATGCGAATCCTTCTTGTGTCTTTGTTCCAGTGGATATGGTCCGCTGGCAAATCCTGTTGCACTAAGATCGGAGGGTGCAGATAACCTAAACATAGTCCAGACATGTGGACCCTGTTTTTATGACGTGGCGTTCCAAATCCAAAGTGCACCAACCCTCTCAAAAAACAAACAAGACTTTGGCTTCTTCCTGTACGAAGAACTCTATCTCTGAAAGCGTCTCTCATTTTCTCTCTTTGTCTCAGTCTGTAACTCCCAGTCTCTCCTTCTGTTTCTATGTCTTTCTCCTTATTTCTCCATCAACCAAAGACTTATACTTGCATTTATGATTACTTGTCTAAATAGACTCAGCATCCCTAACTGGGCCACAGTCACCCTATCGACAACTTTGGTTGTCTGTATCAACTTTTGGATTAGTCTGGGCCTCACCCCAGGAAACTTGCCGAGGCACTGCCTGTTATTTGTTGTTAACCTTGCCCCGTGCATTCTGTCCTGTTCTCTACCTGCTCACCTGGACCTGGCTCTTTGTACCTTTCTGGCTCCCAGATCGTCCTCCCCTGGGGGACTGACCTCAATGCCGTGAAGCCACAGGAAAGTGAGGTCAGACAGGTATCCCTGGAAGCTGGGTGTTTCCAGGGGGCTCCTTCTGGTGTCTGATCTGGGCCCTTTTTCCCTTTGGCCCCACTCGGTCCTACAGCTGCAGAATATTTTGGGGGAGCATAGAGCCCTTGTTGGGCAGCTTCAGGAGGTGAACCTGGGCCTCAGTGCCTGGGTTCTCAGGAGCAGGTGCTTCAGCTCTAGGCCTCAGAATCTTTCAGAGGTTCTGTCCTGTGATGCTGGCAGTGAGCCCCCTGTCTCATACTCATGCTGCAGTGGAAGGAGTTCCCATTCTAGTACATAGCCCAGGACACCTGCTTCTGCTGGCATTCTTGCTGCCCCAAGCCTGTAATAGATGCATTTAGGGCAATTCACCTACAATTCAAAGATATTGCTATGCTTCAGGCTGCAGATGCAATTATATCAGAACATATGGAACTCCAGGTCTCAGGGGTAATGTGGTTTGCCTTAGATTTGGTGGAAAAAGCAGAGAGTTAAATAGAACCTTTCAGACTGGTGAACCTTCATTAGAGGACTGCCAGAAACTTCTGACATTATTAAGGCACAAATCTGGGGCTGTGCTTTGTGTCAGTCGGCCTCAATATTACAATGGTTTTGCTTAGAGGTGGGAAAATGGCAGGATGTACCACACAGTTTCAAAATGAAACGATGAAGTTTTAGGATTTAGTTTTAGGAAGGGCTGTGGGGCACGACTTTGCATGGACTGGAATGAGTCTCTCCCTTCTTCTCTTAATCTCTTCCCCAACCAACCTCTCTCACACTGAGTGATACTGTGAAGTGGAGGATACTTCCACCAAGACCGTGTGAGGAACTTAAACTTACCGCAATCCCATCTGATTAGCTCTTCAAACCATGGTTAAGGGCAGGAGGGAAACGGAACGGACAGCGCCCCTGGTACTGCATGCTGTGTTGGTCAGGCTGGAGTGCAGTGCGTGGTCTTGGCTCGCTGTAGCCTCGACCTTATGCGCTGAGCAATCCTCCCCCCTCAGCCTCCCAAGCATCTGGGACTATAGGCATGTGCCACCAAACCCGGCTAATTTTTTTACTTTTTGTAGAGACAGGGATCTCACCATGTTGCCCAGTTTGGTCTTAAACTCCTGGGTCATGCAATCCTCCTGCCTTGGCCTTCCCAAGTGCTGGGATTACAGGCATCAGCCACTGCACCCGGCCAAAATTACAAAATGCTTCACCAATTTGCATGTCGTACTTGTGCAGGGACCATGCTAATCTCTGTATTATTCCGACTTCAGCATACACGCTGCCGAAATGAGCACCACTGTGATTTGTTTTGCTGGCTTAAACTCAGATGTCCCAACTTTCAAACCTAGAACTATAACACCTCCCTGCCTCTTTCCAAGGATACAACTGATTTCCATCCTCAAAGAGACCCATCTTCTAAAAGAACACAAGAAGTAATTTAACTTGTGATGGTGCAATGTGTGAGAAGACCTTTGACAAGCAGGTGGAATTTAGCCATAAGGAAATGGGAAATGGAAAGGATATTGCAGGCAGAAGGGACGGTCGAGACAGACACAGGTGGGACTCTGGAGGGCATGTCTGGGGAATGTGTGTGAGCAGCACAGGAACTCAGGGGAAGGAGCTATGCTGTTTCTCCAGAATAGAATATATTTGTGTAGTCTGTGGACTACAACAAATCCGGGAGTGAAAACGCCCACACAGTAACAGTGACTGCGCAGTGCAGGTGGGTTGCAACTACGTCCTTCAGCTGCACCTGTGAATTAGCCCCCTGAGTCTCACATTACCTCTCGTAGTATTGTCCCTTCTCTGCTCCAGGCCCAAACGCATCATCTCTCTGTGCTGCTGCATCATCTGCCTGTATGCTATGTTTCTGTATGCTTTGCCCAGGCCACCCACTCCAGAACTGCTGTGTGCCCCCATCCCTAGACCTCAGCCAGTGCAGGCACCCTGCTCTCTGTGGCATTCTCTCCACTCTATGTGGCTCTGACGATCCCTCCTTCCTCCCCTCCCCTCCCCTCATTAGTCACACACTCCTGTTCCGGTCCACTGCTCCTCTGGCCCTGGCACTGCTCCCCTGGCTGAGTCTCTTTGTACAGGCTCCAGACACAGTCATTTGGGGTGAGGTTGCGCAGCTCTCTTCGTGTTCCCTGCGGGCTGCCATTCTCCCAGGGCCTGCACACATCATTCGAGTGGCTGAATCTGGTGATTCAGTGGGCCGCTATGTGCCAGGCCACTGTTCTACATGCTGGAGCACAGCAAAGACAGGAGAACCGAGGTCCCACTCTCCGAGGACTCACATGGCAATGGAGGAGGCTGCCCATCAACAAGCCAACTAACATGAACGACGTAATTTCAGAGGGTGCGAAGTGCTGCGAAGTGCATGCATAAAGTTGGGAGAGCTGGTAGTCAAAGCAAATACTGACGAGAGAAAGGATACCAGCGTCACACATCCCAGTGTCACCTGGACAGGCTTCAGGTGAAAAAACCCTTTTATATTGCAGTGGATAATAAATTAGGTCAGCTTTGTGAAGTATTGCAAATGTTTATTCTACTTTTATAGAAGTACACCTCTTAGGAAAATTTGATGTCTGTTCCTAGCAATTTAGACACAGAAATGTATATTATGTTATAAAGTTATTGTTCTGGAATAATTTTAAAAGCTAATTTACTGTTGGAATTTCAAATTTACAATATTGCCGAGTCAAGCTGAGTGCCTGTAGTCATAGTTCGTTTTCTGTGTTCCCCTTTGTGTTAATGATCATGTTAATTACCTGCAGGTGTCTTTATTTTTTCCCCCATTTAGGAACAGGGTTTTCACTTGACTTAATTCCAATTAAAATTTTTACCTTTATTCGGCCAGGTGGCAGTGGCTCACGTCTGTGATCCCAGCACTTTAAGAGGCTGAGGCAGGTGGATCACTTGAAGTCAGGAGTTTGAGACCAGCCTGACCAACATGGTGAAATGCTGTCTCACCTAAAATCACAAAAATTGACTGGGTGTGGTGGTGCACACCTGTAATCCCAGCTACTTGGGAGGCTGTGGCGGGAGAATCACTTGAACCTGGGAGGTGGAGGTTGCGGTGAGCCGAGACCGTGCCATTCATTATGCTTCAGCCTGGGCAACAAGAGTAAGACTCCATCTCAAAAAAAAAAAAAAATTACCTTTTTTTCTATGCAAATTCTCCCTGCAACTGGAAATATTCAAGTAAATTTTGCCTCCATCTGAGATTGTGCTGTTAATATTTAGATTTGGGGAGCATAGATTTTGCAACTATTATTTCATTTTACTGCATGAAGACAGCAAACATATTTTCAAGATGATTTGTGTGTAAACTAAAACAATTTAATGACAATAATAATGGGAAATATGAATGTAGTGTTTTTAGTTAGATACTTCCAGACAAAAAATACAGTTCAAAGCTTGGTGCCTGTGATATACACATTCCCTTCATAACTGATAGTTATCTATAAAAATATGCATTTCTCCTACAAAATGAATTTTCTTAAGATGGGTTGTAGACAATGGAATTATCAACAATATAGGAATATACTTAAAAAGTGAGGTAAAATTTATGCACAGCTAAATGCACTGGTTTTAAGCGAATCAATGAACTTGGATACATGTATTTACCTGGATAACCACCACCCCAATCAAGGTGTTGAACCTTTCTATCATTTCAGAAAATTCTCTCAGCTAGGGGGAGTAATTTGAAGTATGTATATTTCTGATTCAAAAAAAAATTACGGTCAGGAATCTGGCTTATTCATGCCAATGAGTTAAAGAGATAGGTTTCATTAATACATTTTACCAGCGTCTTAGTCAAACAAGTCATTTTCTTTGACATCTGCTGGCAGTTAAATATTGTCCATTGCCCATGGGCTTATCAGCACTGCCAAAATCATTTGGGAAATTAAACTTTATTCCTGAGGTAGCAACAGCTTGCTGATTAATTTAACAACGAGCTAATTATAGATAGCTTCTTATAATTAGTCCAAGGCAGGAGGTTTTGTTTCATTTACATCAAATATGTCCATCATCAGGTATCTTTTGGGCCCAGAAGGCAATCTCAGTTTTGTAGTTGAAATGGACCAAAGCCACCTGAAGAGACATGGTTTGCAGCAAAAACTGCTCCAATTTTATTTTCATTCATTCATTCATTCAACAAATTAAACATTTACCATGTGCCAGGAACTGCAAAGTACTGAGATTATAGCAGTGATGAAAACAGACAAAATCTTGAGGGTGTAGCTCTGGGGTAGAGCATTTGATTGCAAAACAGACAAAATCCCTTTCCTCATGGAGAAAAGCAACCACACACACACACACACCCAAAAAACAAACAAACAAAACAAAACAAAAAACCAGAAAAGTAAACTCCAATGAGTCTATAATATGTCATGTAATTTGAAGTATGAAGAAAAATAAAGCAAAGTAAAGGGCTAGACAGTGATGGGGATGAGGGTCAGAGTGTTACCAAAGTGTAGTCACAGAAAACCTTTTGAATACAGTCACGCAAAGGTTTGTTTCCAACTGACCCATTGAGCTGTGTATGCATTTTTGTTTATTTCAAATAAAATATATTTGTATTATTTGTCATTCATACTATCCATTCATACCACAGTATTTTCTGTGTCGGTAGTCTAATAGAAATATACCTGTTTTGTTTTTTTTAAACAAAGAAGAAAAACTGATATTTGAGTAGAGGTTTGAGAAAAATGGGACCATGTAGGTTTGTGGGAATAGCAAATGCAAAGGGCCTGAGGTGAGAATGCACTTGAAGCTTTTCAGGAATAGCAAGGGGAGGAAGGGGCAAGGATTCTGGAAGGAAGAGTGAGTGGCCAGGTCATCAGGTCACCTGGGACATTCTCGACCTTGGTAAGAACTTTGGAAATTAGATTGTCAGAGATGCGTGGAGTTTTTTGGGATCTTTTTTGTTTTAAACTAAATATGAATAAATGTTATTCTGGAATATACCAAAATGATAAAACTAAAGGTTTTTTTGTTGTTTATGAAAATGAAGTATCAAACACTAAAGTTGATTACAGAAAGATAAAGCAAATTACATTTCTGCATGAATTTTAAAAATAAAACTTTTTATTTTTGAACAATTTAGATTTACAGAAAAGTTACAGAGATAGTCCAGAAAGTTTCTGTGTATCCCTTATAAGGTTTCCCCTATTGCCAACATCATACATCACCTTTGTTAAAACTAGAATACTGACATCGGCTTATCACTATTATTAAATGCCAGGTTTTATTTGGATTTTGCTGGTTTTTCCATCAGTGTCCTCTTTCTGTTCCAGGATTCAATATATGGCACCATGTTGCACTTAGTGGCCATGTCTCCTGGTCTTCCCTGGTCTCTGGTGATCTTCTTGCTTTTCATGACCTTGACTGTCTTGAGGAATAGCAGTCATGTATCCTATAGAATGTTCCCAATTTGGGTTTGTCTTTTGTTTTTCTCATGATCAAACTAGGGTGATGAGTCTTCAGAAAGAATGCAGAAGTGAGTGCCCTTCTTATCACATGATATCAACAGGTACCTCATCCATAGTGAGATTAACCTTTATGACTTGGTTGAGGTAGGTTTGCCAGACTTCTCCACCATGAAGTTACTATGTTCAGCTTTTCCTACTCTATTCTTTGAAATCAAGCTCACCCTTAAGGGAATGGTGGTGAGACTTAAGCTACTTTGGAGTGTCTTTTTTTTTGAGGTGGAGTTTCGCTCTGGTGGGTTACCCAGGCTGGAGTGCAATGGCGCGATCTCGGCTCACCGCAACCTCCGCCTCCTGGGTTTAGGCAATTCTCCTGCCTCAGCCTCCTGAGTAGCTGGGATTACAAGCATGCGCCACCATGCCCAGCTAATATTTTGTATTTTTAGTAGAGACGGGGTTTCACCATGTTGACCAGAATGGTCTCAATCTCTTGACTTTGTGATCTACCCGCCTCGGCCTCCCAAAGTGCTGGGATTACAGGCTTGAGCCACCGTGGAGTGTTTTAAGGAGAAAAATAACATAATCCTATTTATCTTTTAAAAAGGAAGGGTCGCTCTATGTTGAGAGCAGACTATAGGGGTAAGCGCAGAAGCAGGGAGACTGGGCAATGTCCAGGTGAGACATGGTGGCTTGGATTGGGGTGGTAGTCATGGAAATGAGAAGTGGTTGAGATTTGTGTATGCTGGGGAGATAGAACCTATTTATTATATTGCTGTTCTGCCTTCACTGCCAAGAGGGCAATGGCCATTAGTAGTGATGGACATTATTTTGTTTTACTAATTACAGTGTCACTTCCTGGA